GAGCGCTCCTCGTCTCTTCGACTCTATGCCTCATACAAGCGCAGAACTTCAGCAATTAATCTCGATCATTCTTTAGACCGTATAATGATTGCCCGCATCTTAATTAGTCTTTCGCGCAACTTTTAGCAGCCGTAAAGTCGCCTAGCGTTCTTGTTGCGTCAACGGTTAATAACAGCTTGCGGATCGACGTGAGATCGAGATGAGATATAGCGATCAATCAGATTGAGTTATCAGCGTGAAATGTAATGATAATGAAAGCTCGTTCATCATGCATCTGAAAATAGTGCGGACGCGCCGACGGACGGATACGTATATAGCAAATGGAGCAAACAAGAAAGATGCAGACGCAGAAGCGGTGGATATCGAAAGTCTCGATCTCGTGATCGAGGAAAGTATTTCTGACGCGGAGATGAGTGGGAGGGGGGGGAAGGGAAAGCGATAGTCGACATTATCATTAAATGAGCATCAACGTCAGGCGAACGGGAGACGAGGTGTCCTTGTACCCGCCATATCTGCTTGGTATCTCGAGCGACGGCCGCGACGTCGAGGAAATGGAATATACTTTCGGCGTCGACTCTCGGGCGTGTCACGAAATAAATCAGTATTCGCGTGCTTTGCCCGGAAATAAGAAAAAATGGCCGCCTTATTATCCGCTGCCATCAGACCACGGCCGGACGGGACTACCCTCGGCGGGTAGTCTTTCGCACGAGGACCCTTCTTCGTTGGAGCTTAACGCTGGATGCGGAGGGAGGAAGAGAAAAAGGGACGAAGGTAAAAGAAAGCGGCGTTCTAAAGGAAAGATATATAGACCGTCGTATAGTCCGTTTACCTTAACGCACACTACACAGTCATCCGGGGGACAAATAATCATATAAACTCCGCCGCGATTCTCCGGTTTTACGCCGTGTTAATATAGTTTGTATTTTGTATTGTGCGTGTGCGTCCCATCTAAGAAGAATCCCTCGAAAAGCGGAAACATATGGGCATACATTTTTGGAAGTCGCGAGCAGTATCGGATGAAAATATCGCAATTGGTGAAAATTGAGCGTCACATGTGCGTGACGTTGAGCGCTAATGGATCGAGCGAATAACAAAATTGACGTGAACGTTAAAGCGCATCTGAAAAAACTCTGGGAAAGCTCGATAGAATCCATTAGATAGATATAAATAAACCTGCAATTTTTACGCAGGTGCGCTCTTTCGTAAAATGTCGCTTTTGTTCATGTGTTCTATTTCCTGTTTTAAATATATATATATATATTCTATCTTTGAAAAGATATGTGTCGATTTATCATGATACATAAGTTGAAATTGCGTATTTACGACATTTATCGTATGATCCGATTCTGCAATCATCATTCTCGTTTTAGACTCTCCAAATATTCGAGTTATTAAATAGCTTCTTAAACGTGTACCGATTAACATTAAAAAATTGGAAGAAATGTAGAATCAGCTTTAAAAATTTTGCTAGAAAAAAATATCACCATTTTAAAAATATTTATCAGATTCAATTTGAAAATGAACGGACAATTACGATACAAATTAATTTTATATATTCAGTCGTAATAAGATCGCGAATAATGATATTTCAAAAATATTTTGGAAAACTGCACAGCCTCGAAATATCACTTTCGGATGAGACGCAGCATGTACGTACCCGCTTGAGAGGCGCCTGAGGTGTCGATATAGACGATCCGCCGGAAGGGGTCATGCCTGAGGACGTTTGACTTTATTGGAGGAAATATGAGCGGGCTCTGGCAGTGCCCCGGGCGGTATTCCCGGTACGCCGGGAATCGGATGTGCGCGGGGGGAGGAGGGGGACCTGCAGCACTTCCAGCCCGAGGGGGATGTACCCGGGGCTTGGGAAGGATTCATTCATATCGCGAAGCCGAGTCTCATTGTCGGAACGGAGCAGCGGACAAAGCGAAAGCAGGGGACTGAAGTGCTGTCAGGACCAGTGCACTCCATTGCACGACACAAATGGCAACCAAAAGTGGGGCGGGAGGGAGACCCGAGGATCGAGACCCGAAAGGTGAGCCCGCACGAAGGAGTGATCTGTCGCCATTGTATCGCGATCGATCTCGCGTCGCATTCATTCGCGGATATCGCAAAAGCGATTCGCATGGCTCGTTTTATAAGCTGACAATGGCAATTGTTCCTTTTAATGTACGTCCACCTTCATCTTGGCGATAAAAATTTTCTTTTTTCGCTCTGTACGTTTCCCTTCTAGCTTTATGTATTGTATCATTACAGTTATTTATATTTGTAGATAAATTATTCACATAGTTTATACGCAACAGATTTTAACAGATTTAAACATTTTTTTATCATTCGAGAGGTTGAGAAATTTAAAATTTATAAAATAATTTAGCAAATTTAGACACAAAATATTTGAATAAGCTGTAAGCGATAGCTTAGATTATATCTCATTGCGACTTCATTGCTCTTTATTTCGTATTTATCTTTAAAAGTGATTTGTCAAAAAAAAAAAAGATACTTACTTGATGCCGGTTGAAATTGTCGATAGCAGAGAGAAAAATATCAAGTTTCTTCTTGGGATATTATTATACGCTGCCAGCTATGTACACTTCTCGGCTCCGCAGTTTCTTGAGTCCGAATAATTACAAAAATACAAAACTGCTTTTCCAGGTATGCGAGCAGGTTCTCGTTGCGTAATAAAACTGTGCGAAGAATTCTTCTTTATGATGTGTTGTAAAAAATACACGCAATACAAGAGTGCAAAGAATATTTCGAGTAAAAAAGCGCTCAGTCCGTAGCTTGCGGAAAAATATTTTATGTATCTTTTATTTATTTATGTATCTTTTATTTTAAATTTGTATTATGCCTTTGGTGTCTTTCAACGACCCGAGTAATATACGAAATCTGAAAAATGAAATAGTGACATACATATAAAATAAACCAGTTTTGTTTGTATTTAATTTTATTATAATGCAGACAATACTATACGGAAGAAATAACATATTTCGATATTTCGATACCGGGAGTATTTCGTAACAAATAAAGGCAAGGAAAAGACAATTAAATATTCCTCCCGGGTAAAGCGTTCGTTTCTGGGTAAGTTAAGGGTAACGCCATCGTTATCTTCACTTCAGCCTTTTTTTTTTATTGCGAAACGCAAGTAATCTCCGTTAATTGCTGCCGCCCCGGCGGGGAGCAACATTTACAAGGGGAACATTAGCTTTTAATACAATTATGATACATCGATACAACAGAGGACTAATATTTACACATAGTCTCGATTTCATTCGATGAAATTACTCTACATTCTCGCGTCGCAAGACATGACTTAACGGAATTAATTCACCGGTCCGCGCGACCACGCTGCGCGCCGGAGAACCGCTTGCAGAACAGCAGCAGGCGAGAATTGATACCGCAGTAATTTGTACTAATTAACCCATCCGCGAATTTATGCCTCTCGTACTGAGTTATTATTATTACAATGCGCACATATTATTCGACGTCACGCTACGCGGAGTACGCCTATTAATCATCGACGCGCGCCATGGCAGCGCGGCGGCAAATGTAATGCCAGATGTGATAATATTTAATGCTTTTGGCGCCGACTTCGCCGGACTTGTCGACGACTTGCCGTTGCCCTTCGCGGCGAGGGAGGCGGTGGGGGACGGGGCGGGGCGGAGGGGCCGCCCGTTTAAACAAACGGATCGGCCGTTTGCCGGGGCGTTAATGATATTAATGCTTTCACGCAACTTTGTACAAATGGATATACATTATACACAGAACGGCTGATAGAATTTTAGATTAAGCGTCGCAATCTACCAGTCGGTCCGTCCGCCCCGCCGCTTAAACGGAAACAATCACAAGACGCGGACGGTGACGACGGCAAAGCGAATCGCGCAAGTGTGCCAGGATGAGAAAAAGAAGTACTCTTACCTTTTGTGATTAAAATATATATAAATAACTTTATTGTTTATGTATTTATATATATATATATATATATTTATATAATAAAATGCCCTATCTATTTTACAAATATACAAAACTCTCTCGCTATGTACATCAATCTCCGCTTTCGACTAAACAAATTACCGAAGAATTTTAATAAATCGATTAAATCGTCGATTAAACTATCATCGAGTAGAAAGAGGAAAAAACGTTACTTCGTTGCAATACGAGTTACAGGTAGTATGCTCCAATTCTTTTTTTTTTTCTCTCGCGCTAATTACATTTGCTCACTACGAAGCTATCACGATTTTCAAAAATACGAATAACCGCTTATTTATTCGGACACCGTGTTACGGGTTACATTGCAATAGTAAGAAATGCTTCTGATAATAAGTAGAGAGAAAAGTCGGCAGTCAGGAGTCCTGTAACAGAAAAAGAAAGGATGCGGGTTACGCGAAACAGTTCCCATTAATTGTTTCCATTAGACAAGATGCACTTTAACAAATGAATAATCGAAACCGCTTTGTGCCGTGTGCAATATGTGATGCAATTATTGATCACGCAGAAAGAATTATTCATTAACAATAATATATTACGTTAATAAATCCATGACAATAATAGAGCGGTTTATTATTGTAATGAGTTTCAATAAGCGAACGATCAATCATTATCTATAATCGCTGGAAATGTGTACTATATTATTTCATTTGCGCAGATGGAGTACGATTACAGTGCCAAAGCTGATTATTACTGTGATCATGTATATTTCGAGAAATATCCGCAATTTTCTGATATTTACATCGTAAATTAAATAACGACTTACCTTCCTCACTGCTGTTTCCGATTATTCCTTGCGTAATGCGATTCAATAATGCTTTTGGAAACAGTTCACATCTGAAACAAAAAATATTAGATTAAATTAATCAGCGTCCAATAACAACTGTCACATAAAAATAAATGACGACGATTAGAAGTTAAATATAAAAACATATCGATATCTCTTTTTTTGCGGCAGCGTGATAAAAGAGAATATACGGTATATGAAGATAAAATCCAGCGTATGATAAAAATAAGTGAAAAATTAGTCAATTAGCGTACTGCATTTCGCGTAAAATGTTCTATTCTTGGGCGACTCTTTTGAATAGAGGGTCAAACTTTTTTCCGCTGCCGGGTAGTTTTAACAAGTTATATTTTTTTAATTTTTCCCCACGACGCTACGGCGAGGGCGACTCAACGCTGAAAGTTTCCCTGTGGTTTTAGAAATGCATTTAAACTTCCGCTTGGTTGTGCTCCGTGTCAAAATGCATTTCCTTTTTGCACCGCCGACACGTCGCGTCGCATCAGGGAGATTCTTTCGCGTGACGCGGAGTGCGGCGAGTACGCACGAAAAACCGATGCCACACATTTGTGCAGTGTCACGGCCGCACTAGCGCTAGACATCGCGGCGGAAATGTCCGCCGTTTTGAAATTCTGCTGGCTCGAACTGTGTTACGCTTCGGTGAACGTGTCGAGCGGCAGAGCGGCATGACGTGTAGTTGTGCTTAGGTGGACAAAATTTCGATTTTCGAAAAATCGCGAAAAGACGCCTCTCCAAAGATACTTCTACACTCTTGGACAGAAATCATCATCGCGATATCGTCGGAAATTTCTAAATTATCAATTCTTATCTAAACATAATTTTAATAGTAATATGAGAAAGAAAGAAAAATATAGAATGTTAAATATTAATTGTAGCTTTGATAAAGAGCATGGTTTTATTATGATAGTTTATCATTTCCTAGTGAACTAGATAAGATTTTTGCACAAAATTATTGTATCATATTTTTTACAGTGTATTTCAGCGTATATTAAGTTTTATTTCCAAAAAATGCAACATTAAAATTATATAAATGTAATAGAAAGATACAAAAAGTCTCATAAAAATCCTTTCCTCTTTGCTTAAAAAAAATTATTACATCTTTTAATAATATATATATATATATATAA